CTCGGGCACCAGCTTCTTGGCTTAGCTGCCAATTACTGTCATCTTCCCAGAGTCACTCACTCCTCTGTAGGGCAGCCCATCTTCCAGGTTCCCCCAAGACAGAGGCCCTTCCTGGAACTCTAAACTTTCATTTAATACCGGGACAGTCTTGAGTGAAGCAAGATGGTGAGTGGATATCCCCAGGAAAGCCTCTTTGTCCAGTGTAGCTCTGCTCTAGTTGCCATTCCCTTGCCTCCTTGCTCAAGCAGATAACAATTTCCTAGGGGGAGGGGGATGCGGTGTCTTTCCCATGAGGACCCTGAAACCAGCATGGCTCCTGTTGTCATTTGGATACTAAGTACTGAATTTGTAAGGTAAGAATCCCTGCTTGCATCACATTGTATCTTGAAGCCACTGTCCACATCACTCTGCCCATCACTGGGGCTTTGTAAATATTTGCTAATAATTCGACTCTTAGAACCAAATTCTCTTGCCTGGGGATTCCTAAGTGCAAATAAAGTGTTGCTCAGAGACAGAAAAACAAGATTAGATATAAAAATAATTTAAAAAAACCCTGAATCCAAATGCCAATTATATCAGTAATATGCTTAAGACTCCAAATCCCCTGTATTTTGTTTCTTTATAGGGAGAGTAACAGTTACTAGGTAGCTCAGCCTTTTGAGTTAACAAAAAGCACCTTCCCCAGCACCCTCTGATCCTCATAAACGCTCCTGGGAGGTAGAGGTTATTTTTGCCACTTCCCAAGTAAGGCAACCAAGATCTCACAGAGGTTAAGACAGCTGGTGTGGGGAACACTTGGAACAGCCAGGACAGGGACACCAGTCTTTGCCACCAGGAGGGAAGGTAGGTTATCCCCCTTCCTACCCACCTCTGGTTCCCCAACGCCAAGCATGGTCCTCAAGACATGCAATGTCCTTAAATATTGTTTGAATTAACTTATTTAATTCTGACTTTCAGGTCTATCATCTTTCTACTATACCCAGTTTCCAGCTTCACTCTGTTAAGGAGGAGCCAAGAGGTTCAATTAAGAACATAAATAGCAAAACACATGATAAAACCTAAAATATTGAGCTAATATAAGATGCTATGACATTTTCACTGCTCCTAGGTAACTGTTTTGGTTTGGATCTTAAAAGTCCCCCAAAGGCTTATATGTTGAAGGTTTAATTCCCAGCAATGATGTGCTGGGAGGTGGTAGAGCCTTTAGGTGGGGATTAGTATCTTTATACTAGGAACGAAGTTAGTTTGTGGGGGGTGTCCATCCTACATCTCAGGATTCCCTCCCCTCTGGACTCTGCCCCACCCTCCCAGCTCCATTCTTCTATTCTCCCAGCCAACCCCATACTATCCAGGATCTGGGGGCTCTCCTTCCACAGCTGGCCTACACTTGAGTTGATAACAGGATTCAGGGCATGTTAGAGCCTTAGCATGTAAGCCTTAGCTTACACCCAACTCCTGTACTCTTGGGGCTTCTGACCCATGGAAGGGAAGAGCTGAAGTTTAGACTTCCCCACTCTTTTTCTACTTGTTGAACATGTTCTCCAAAATGCCCTGTATCGTCACCTCCTCTGCTGTACCTTTCATAACTCGTGGGGGCCAAGTTAACCCACTGCTCTTCTAAGAACCCCACTGTACTTCATGTTGGTGCATTCACCATACTGAACTATGGTAGTTGGGTCACTGCCATGTGTTAGTCAGCATTATGTCACTGTGACCAAAAGACCTGATGAGAACAACTTAGAAGAGCAAAGTTTATTTTGGCTCATGGTTTCAGAGATTCGGTCCATGATTAACTAGCTCTGTAGCTCTGAGCCTAAGGTGAGGTGGAACACCATGGCTAAAGGGCATGGAAAAGGAAAGCTGCTCAGTTCATGACAGCCAGGAAGGAGGGAGGGAGAAAGAGAGGTGGGGTGGAATGCGAGAGCACTAGTTGTGCTAGACAGGGACAAAATATAAACCCCAAAGACATGCCCCAGTGACCTACTTCTTCCAACAACATCCTACCTGCCTATAATCACACCAATACAGTAGTGCCACAATCTGGCTTGGCACAATTCAGGAGCCACTTGTCAAAAGAAACTAACTTTATTTTTAGAACTACAAACGCCAAACAAAACAGCTCCTCAGGAAAAAACCCTCAGAGCCCAACTGCCACCACCGGCTTCCCACAAGCCTCTCACCCCCACACCAGCCTCTCAACCTCCCACAATCCTCCTGCTCTTGAGGCCGATTGGCTGGGTTGCATGGGCGGAGCCAAAGAAGTCCCCCAATGAGCAGCTCCACGGAGGAGCCAATCAGCTAGATGTTGCTGGGGCCGCTGTGAGCCAATCATCAACTGGCAGCTGGAAGTTTGCTGGCAGCTGGAAGTTTGCTGGGGCCCCTTTGGCTGTGGCTCTCAACACAGTAGTCCTTTCAAATGAGTAATCCATCAAATGGATCAATCCACTGATTAGGTTACTGGTGTCATAATGTAAACTAATCATGTTACCTCTGAACATTTCTACATTGTCTTAAACATGAACTTTTGGGGGACATCTCTACCCAAACCATGACATTCTGACTCTGGCCCCCAAATTGTCCATCTCACAATGCAAAATGCATTTAGTCCGTTTCCAAGAGTCCCCATATTCTTAACAATTTCAGTATTATCCAAAAGTCCAAGTTCAAAATCTCATCTGAGACTCAAGGCAAACTTTTAGCTGTAAGACCCTTAAGAAACCAAAAGCAAAACATGTATCCAATATACAATGGCACGGAGTAAACATTTTCATTCCAAAGGGGAGAAATAGGGCACAGAAAGAAGGGATGGGACCAAAGAAAAACTAAAATCCATCTGGGCAAACAAATCCTATAACTCACATCCAGCATCTGGCATAGTGATGTTCTCTCCAAAGGGCTCGGATAGGTCTGCCCCTCATCAGTAAAATGTAACCAAGTCCTCATCAAAAATTACACTAAGAAGAACTTGATTACATAGAAAGCCTTCTTGAAATTTGGACCTGTGTGATTTGTAATCGCTTTCTCTGGAAAACATTTCAGAGGTAGAAAAAAATGCTAAAGATCAGGAGACAGAGCAGGTTGTGCAGAAGAGGGGCTGGCTGCAGCTCAGGAAGGAGTGTGAACCACAGCTGTGCTCCCTCTGACTGCCTCTGCTCAGCTGAGATCCGTGTCAGCTCCTCTGAGCTTCCAGGAATCCTCAGAGGATGCTGTGGCATGCTGGGCAGATGAACTCCCCTTTTATTACAGGAGAAGGCACAGCCCAGAGTGCAATTTACTCAAGATTTTACAGCTACAAGCCAGTAGGACTGAGGCTCAGACTCCAGACTCACCACCCAATGACCTTCTTTGTTCCGCTGAGTTACTTCTTAGGGAGCCCCAGGCTCTAAATAGGAACAGAAGGAGATGGAGAGGGATGAGAATGACAGAACCAGGGGCTAGACTGAAGAAAAGGGGAAGATGAAAGGCAGACTGGGGTCAGAGTAGTGATCTGGGAGCCAGTAGAGGAGGAAACGGGTCCCTTCTGTTCCATCAGTCCCCGATGTTTGTACCATCTGTGGTATTCTGGAGCACATTAGTCAGATGCCCTCTTTATTCTAAAGTAAGAAAAGGAAAAGTTAAAGTCTAAAACCAATGCTAGCCGAGACTTCTGGAACAAAACCTCTCCTTGCCCGTTCACTGATCAGGGTGTTAGATGCCCAAGCCCCGCCCACGATGCCAGTTACTCTCTCCTCTTCTTGCCCTGCTGCTCTTAACCCTGCTCTTTCTCTTTCTGCCTCCCCAGAGTTTGCTCCCTGCTCTGTGCCTTCCTTCATCCCTAGCTCCTGCTCACTGAAGGGTCAGACTGGCTGAGTGAGAGGAGATGGTCAATAATGAGGTTTCTCTGGGACAAGATCAAGTAATTATGTTGGCCCAATGTCTCAAGAACTTCAGAGGGGCCATCTGCACCTGTGGGGGCAATGACCATCATATGCAAGAATGGAATGATCTCAGGGAGCCATCAAGGCCCCTCAAGTTCCTGATGAGGACCCAGAGGACCACAGCATGTTAAGGGAACTCATGTCCCAACTCCAAGTCCATTGTGACTCTTCTGAACCCTGTGGCTATATCAGACCACCTGAACCTGACTACTTCTGTACTCTGACCTGAGATTCCAACCCACTTCAATTCCCATCCTCTCCTAGGAATGCTGAGCATTTTGTGTCTCCAAAGATATTAAAATTGGCAGGACTGGGGTTGGGGTTGTGGCTCAGGTGGTAGAGCACTTACCTAGCATGTGTGAGGCACTGGGTTCAATTCTCAGCACCACATATAAACAAATAAATAAATAAAGATCCATCAATAACTAATAAAAATATTTTTAAAAAAATAAAATTGGCAGGAGTATCAAGGAAGGAAGGAAGAAATCCAGGTGAAGGGAAGGTCCTATGGTCTGGCTTTCAAAGGTAAAGCCCTGGGGTGAATCCTCCAAGTCCTGAGGATCATTCCCATCATCCTTATGGGGATTTAGGCCATTTGTTTTTTTTGGATGATGTCATTGTCCTCCATTTGCCACTCCAAACCACTACCCCCTTGCTCCAGTCTCTGCTGCCTCCAACCCTGGTAGCAGAGCTGGTTAAAAATACATCATGTCAGATCCCATCCCACACATGATACTGGGATGGGATCTGACATGATGTATTTTTACTCTTTCCCTCAAATGTATGTTCTCAAGGGGCTGAATTAGTGTCATTCAGAGCTCTATGTCCTCTCTTGGGATACCACAGTGATGCCCACAGAAAAGATTCAGAAAAAGTCAGGCTGGAAGCACTTGCCTACTCTCAATCCCCTCTCAGGTTTTGAAGATTCTCCACTCTACCCCACGGGCAGGGGTCTGAAGCCAGAACTGGTTTGCCGGCGGTCTCAACCTCTCTTTCTCATTCCCTATCATCCTTCCCCTCTCACCTCAAGGTCTCAAGAAAGCAGCTGCCCTCCCAGCACCAGTATGCAGTCTTTCCACTTACTGGTTTGTAATTCTTCTGGATCAAAACAGTGATTGAATTCATCCCCTCATTCTTCAGTTTCATCTGTCGAGAGCCCTAGGGAAAACATACATATGCAGCTGGAGGTGAAACTCCTCTTCCTCTTCCTCTGTTGCTTAGCAGACAGACAAGAGAGATGGGAAGAATGCTAGTGAAGACTAAATGGAGTATCCAGAGAGACCTCAGCATCCCTATGCCTCCTAAGCACCCTGAAATTAACCACCTGGACTTCAAAGTGGCCTACAACAATACTTGCACCCAGCTGGCAGCTGAGCCCCACTCCTTCTGGACTCTCATGACTGGCCACACAGATCCACCTCTCCAGTCAAGCAATTCTCTCCACCTTCCATCCATCTCATCCTTTAGAACTTCAACCTTCGCTCTTCTTCAATGTGAATTCCCTCTGCTGACCTGCTGTTGAAATCTTTCTCTCTGTTTCAGACCCATCTGACATGAAAGCCCATCCCAGCTACCCAAATCAGTCTCTTCTCTGCATCCCCATATGCTGCCATGCTCTGTGTTGGTAATGTGGTACATACTGTCATGCAGTATTTCACTGTGAAAACAGCCTCATCCATAGCCAGCAGTGAGTACCTTGGCTTAGGTACGTGTGTGTCCTCACTGCCTAGCACTGTACTAAGCACACAGTGAGTTTCATGTAACACTTGGTTGGAGAGGAAACTCACTCCTGCAGGCAGCAATCAGATAAACCTCTCTAAAACTAACTGTTCTAAGCACCTCACATTTTCTCATTTAATCCTCACTAAAAAAGCCCTGAAGGAAGGTGGAGGGCCTGGCTAGAAGAAGCACCTGGCACTGTGCTTGGTACATGGCAAAGGCTGGACTACACTGGTTCTCTTTCTTCTGCCTTCCTCTCTCCATCATATTGAACGCTAATTTATCTACCCCCTGATGTGGTTTGCTCTGCACACAATTTGTTCCTACTTATGACCTACCCTTAAACATACCCCAGATTCCCTTGTATTCACATTCTTTTGATAGTAAGTTATATATGATCAGATGGCATTCTTTTTGGAAATTAGAATAAGAATTCTCCTCCTCCTCCTCCTCCCTCTCCTTTCTTCTCTTTTTTGGTACTGGGGATAGAACTCAGGGGGCACTGTACTCCTGAGCTACATTCCCAACCTTTTTATTTTTTTATTTTGAGACAGGGTCATGCTAAGTTACACAGGCTGACTTCCCAAGTTGCTGGGATGATAGGTGTGCTTCACTGCACCCAGCTACTTGCAGGAACTTTGATTATTTGTCCATATAGAAAATAGGGCATCTTGTACAACAACTCCTTAGAAACTCCCTCACACAGAGAGTGGCTTTTTGAAAAGAAGGCAGGGCCACTCTGGCCAGGCCTTTCCTGACCAGCACTGGGCCTCAAGCCAGCATGTCAAGTTCAAACCCAGGTATCCTGGCTCACCCTGCTTCATTTGATTGTGCTTTTTCTTTCTTAAGAACCCTCCTCACCCTGAATCCCACTTCCCTGCAGGCATCTACTGCCCTCCTCACCATCCTGGCTTAACCTGGTTCTTAGATCCCTCTTTCATACTAAGGCATAAAGTAAAACAAATTAAAGCAAAAATCTCTCCTCAACCTCATGCCTGCTAATCAAGAGCTCCACCACTGAGCTATACCCTCAATCCCAATTTTTATTATTATTATTTTAAATTTGAGATGGGATCTCATTATATTGCCCACGCTGGCCTTAAACTCTTGGACTTAAGAGATCCTCTTGCCTTCAGCTTCCTGAGTAGCTAAGACGACAAACACTAGCCTCCATGCCTGATCCAAGCAAGAATTCTTAATCTGAGGACTAATCTGATGCTGGAGTAGAGCCTGCCCTCCATCACCACATACCTGGGTGGAAGCACCCAAGTCAAAAGGCCAGCACCCCAGAAGCTTACTAACATGCTACTGAATCCTCCCTTCCCCAATTCCCAGTGTCCTGATGGGCACCCTCCATACCATAAGGCCCTGGTCTGCCTAATTTGCCCATGTTCCACAGGGCCAAATTCAGAGTTGCTGCCATTTTACCCCCTAGTACATTTTAAGAAATTTTTTAGCAGCCTAAGGAATGGGGATAGCTCATACCTTCCCTGGTAAACATCCACACAAATACTACTCACCTGCACCAGCTGTGATGCTGGTGATGCTCCAGTATCAATCTCCCTAGTGCCAGGACTGGCCAGAGCCCCCAACCCAAGAGCTTTCTCCCCTGCCCTAGAGGGGCTGTGGGAAGGCTTCTGCCTGGCACCCACAATCTGAGCCAGCTCTCTTTTCTGGTAAGTGAATTCCAGCTGCTGGTTTGAGACTAGGGATACCTGGTAAGACCTAGGGAGAGGCTGAGAACTGGAAGCACAGACTGTTTTGCAAGGCAGAGTCAAGGAAGGGTGTTTCCCCACCCGGGTCCCCAGATCAGAAGTGGCAATTTACAACATCCACTGCGGTCCTGACACACACAATACAAGTGAGCAATGCAGACCTTGGGGCACAGAGCATGAGAGCAGGGAAGTGAGCTGGTGAGCCAGACAGCAATGGGAGGGGCTCCCATCCAGTGGCCTCCTCAGTCCAGGGCCCAGTGTGTAGCTAAACTAAGACATCAGCAGCCAGTGTGTGGGTATGTGCTTGCCTACCAGACCAGATCCTTACCCCAGGAAAACTCCACCACTCACACAGCCTCCACTCCTGCATGTGCCATCAACTGCTCCCAAAAGTCAGACACCTGCAGGCCACAACATCAAGACTTTGTGACCTCTCAGAGATTCATGGGAAGGCCTAGCTAGGCAGGGGAGAGAGAAGTCTGGGCTGGAAGGCAGCAAGCACATATGACAGAAAAAAAGCTAAAGAAAAGGTTGAGGCAGGAGGATCATGAGTTCAAAGCTAGCCTCAGTAACAGCGAGGCACTAAGCAACTCAGTGACACCCTGTCTCTAAATAAAATACAAAATAGGGCTGGGGATGTGGCTCAGTGGTGGAGTGCCCTGAGTTCAATCCCTGGTACCAAAAAGAAAAAGAAAAAAGGGGCTGGGGATGTGGCTCAAGCGGTAGCGCGCTCGCCTGGCATGCGTGTGGCCCGGGTTCGATCCTCAGCACCACATACCAACAAAGATGTTGTGTCTGCCGAGAACTAAAAAATAAATATTAAAAAAAAAAAAGAAAAAGAAAAAAAAAGAGAAAGAAAGGAAGAAAGGAGGGAGGGAGGGAGGGAGGAAGGGAGGGTGGGAGGAAGGAAGGAAGGAGAAAGAAAGAAAAGGTTGAGGACAATTTGAAAAAGAAAGAAAGAAAGAATCTCTGGGGTATTTATCTAACAAGTTGGCAAAACCCTAAAGTTTAAGCACTCTGTGAAGAAACAGAAATTCTTAGTGCTGGTAGTATAAGAAATAATCACAACCCCAAGGGAAGGCCCTGAATTTGACAGGCCTATTTAACAAGTTAGATGTAGTTTCATTTTTTTTTAACCCAGAAATCCCATATCTAGGAGTCTACCCTGAAGATACAGCCTGCAAATACCAATTAATAGGTGTGCAAGAATTTTCTTGGGAAATTATTTGTAATAGTGAGACTGTCATCAGAGAAGACTTGCTACATGAAATATACTACTCAGCAAAGTACTGGGCAGCCAGCTGGAGCACATGGGCTTTCTCTACATGCTAAGAGTGAGTGCTCTATAGGAACATACATAAGGAGAAACTAATCTCAACAATTTTGATGTCAATTTTAAAAGAAAGGGAATATATTTACTTATTTTTTTTTTGTAGGGGGAAATCACTGGAAAGACAGAACCCAAACTATATAAAGATGATTAACTATGGGAGTGGGGACAGGCTGATAAGAGATAGGAGTGAGACTTTTCTGAATATTTCTTTTTTGTATAATGATGACTTTTGAGTCACATAAATGTTTGTATATTTAAAAACAGAAGAATTAAGTCAAAAAGGAAGAAAGCAAACTCTAAGGTTGAAAACAAACTGAAACCACAAGCAAAATCAAACAACAAAAACAAAACCCCAGCTACCTATTAATGATATAAGCACCCAGAGAAATCCCTGATTTCAGATGACTTTTATTCTTACAGGGCAAAAATAAATAAATAAATAAATAAATAAATAAATAAATAAAGGCAAAGAAATGCAATGTCAATCAGTAGACTTACTTTTAGAAATGACATTGTATTATAATTTCAAAATTATTTTAAAGTATATTGTAGGATAAAGCAAATAAATAGTTATATTAATGTTAATAAGTCAATGTTCACCCAACAGTGAAACATTATAAATGTTTTCCTTGTCAGTAAGTACACATTTATTTATTTCACCATACTCCTACTGCACTGAGAAAAAGAGATACAATATAAGGTCAAATAAATTAATCCTTTCACTTTGATTCAGAATTAGCACTGTGGATCATGCTTTTGAAAACACATTTCCTGGATCGGACTATGAAATGCCCCATAAACAGTGACAATCTGGGAGTACTCGGATCACTAACATCAGATCTCAACATATTCCCCCACTGAAAGAAACCAGGGACTTGGAGAAAGGAATGTTCCAGCTCTGGAGCCAGGCAAGCACGTCAGTCTGAGACATTCTATTGTTTCAGAAAGTAATAAGGCATCAAGACTGTGGGGATCCTGTACAAAGGACCAGAGGCAGCAGTGGTGGGGATGGGGGGCAGCTCCTATGGGCCAAGTTTGGGATGATTTGAGCATCAAAAACAATAAAGACTATAAGCAACTTTAATACATTGAAAGGATAAGAATCCATGAATCTAGACACAAAATAGAAAAACAGAAATATAGGAAAGCTTCAGGGGTGATTCTAGCCAGCATCTTGAAGCTGGAAACTACTGCTTTTAGGATTCCAACCTTATGTCAACCAGTGAAGACTTCAAGACATGAAGACTGAGAAAATGATCGATGTGCAGAGATTCCGTTAGATTTATCTTAGAACTCTCTAGAACAAAGAAAAACAGAGTGTGGTAGAATAAATCTATACTTGTTGACAGGAGAAAAGATTTACGATATTTTGTAACTGAGCAAAAAAGCAAATTATTACTATAGCATGTAGAGATAATACCATTTTGTTTTGTTTTTTAAAAT